TGGAAAGAATTTCATGATTTGAACTGAAACCTGCCTCTCCTATGCATGTAGGAAAAGCAGCAGAGGAGAAAATAAGAAACCCAAACAACTCATTGTGAAGATTGAAGGGAAGCTCCTTACTTTCTTACTTCTTCCACCTGGAAAACAGTCTTTATGTCTCCTTCAATTATCTACTAGAGGCCTGGTGCACAAAATTCGTGCACTGGAGGGGGGGGGGTCCTTCAGCCCAGCCTGCACCCTCTCCAATCTGGGACCCCTCAGGGGATGTCCGATTGCCAGTTTAGGCCCGATGGAGTAAACTGGCAATCGGGACATCCCTCTCACTATCCAGGACTGCTGGCTCCCAACCGCTCACCTGCCTGCCTGCCTGATTGCCCCTAACCGCTCTGCCTGCCAGCCTGATCACCCCCTTACCACTCCCCTGCCAACCAGATCGACACCTAACTGCTTCCCTGCTGGTCCGATGGCCCCCAACTGCCCTCCCTGCCAGCCCCGATGCCCCGAACTGCCCTCCCCTGCAGAAGCGGTCGCTCCCAACTGCACTCCCCTGCTGGCCCGGTCTCCCCTAACTGCCCTCCTCTGATGGCCTGATCACCCACAACTACCCTCCCTTGCCGGCCATCTTGTGGTGGCCGTCTTGTGCCCACATGGGGGCAGCCATCTTTGTGTGAGGTTGTAACAATCATTTTGCATATTTCCTCTTTATTATATAGGACAAGAGGCCCAGTGCATGAAATTTGTGCGGGTGGAGGGGTCCCCCTCAGCCCAGCCTGCACCCTCGCCAATCAGAGACCCCCTCGGAGGATGTCCGACTGCCGGGACTGTCCGGCAGTCAAACATCCTTCTCACAATCTGGGACTGGTGGCTCCTAACTGCTCACCTGCCTGACTGCCTGATCACTTCTAACTGGCCCCCCTGCCAGTCTGATCACCCCTAACTGCCTCTGCCTGCTGACTTGATTACCCCTCACTGCCCTCTCGGCTGATCTGGTTTCCCCTCACTGCCCCGCCTGCTAGTCTGGTTGCCCCCAACTGCCCCCATCTGCTGGCCTGGTTGCCCCTCACAGCCAACCCTGCCAGCCTGGTTGCCCCTCACTGCCCCCCTGCCGAACCTGGTCACCCCTCATAACCTGCTGCTCAGTCATTTGGTCGTCCCTCATTGAACCCCCCTGATTTTCAGTCATTTGGTCATCCCTCACTACCCGCTCTGCTGGCCTGGTCACCCCATGCGACCTGCTGCTCAGTCATTTGGTCGTCCTTCATTAACCCCCCTGCTGGACTTATCGCCCCACTCAGCCTGTTCTGTCATTATTCACTTTTTCGGTTGTGAAGGCCCTGGCTTTTTATATATATATAAATTTTAAGATCTCTGGATAGCAACTTCAGATATCTATAAGACAGAACCTGAATTTAATCTTCTAAATAACTGAGAGCCCCAGTCCCACATTCCACAAGCCTCTCCCATCAACCTATCCTCCTCAGTGTTGAGATGAATATTGCACCGCTGCCATATAAAGCCTACCATAAGTCCATCTCAGAACACGAACACTACGTCCACTTTGGATGGGTACACCATTGCGGTTCTCTTATGATCTGGTCAAACTGTTTCTTAAACAATATGCGTTTGCAACCACAGCAATCCTCAAAGTGGTCCTGGTGAGAATAGAAAGGCCACTGGGTGGCAAATTAAATTAACGGAGCAGTAATCACTTATGTGCATCCAGCTTCTATCGTTACTCTTCTTTATTTCCTTAAAATGTGTTCCCCAAGTGTGAGAATTTGGCTAATGGCAACATGGCCTCCTAAACAAGTTGAATGCATCAATTCATAGTTACCATTTCCATCTAGAAACCTTTTCATGAAATGTTCCATATCACTCCCAGCTTCAAGCCGAACCACCATATTTGAAAAGTGAAAGTATGAAGTCATAACATCCTTGGGGTTTCTGTAGACATAAATAATCTGCAGGGGGTACAGGAAAACAATTTTAACAATTCTCGGTTGTCCTTAGAGGTTGTTGCTGTTTTTTACACCAACATATGTCACTATATGAATGCATAATCATTTGTTTCATCCAGCTTACTACTCATGGAAATTTAGGTTGTACTTTTTTTTTTTGATATTACAAAGACTGTTGAAATAATCAACTTTATTCACATGACATTTTATATGTGCAAGCATATAGGAATAATTTCTAAAAGTAAAATTATTTATTTAATTAAGGTCGGTTAATATTACTAATTACCCTTCATAAAAATTGTTTCAATGTACCCTCTGTGAGCGTTAAGTGACATTTGATAAAAAGCCCAGATAGCACATGAGAGCATTTCAAAAAGGAAAAACTACCTAACAGATGATGTTGAACCAAATAATTATCCATACAGTATAAAATTGGAATTCTACTTCATACCTCACATCAGACTCCCCCTCCCAAATTACAAATGGTTAAGGATTTAAATATGAAAGCAACATTTGACATCTTAAAAATAAAGAATATCTTTCTGGTCTCAGAGAAGAAAAAGATTTCCTAAACAGAAAAATATTATTTTAGTTAAAATAAAAATTGATCAATTAAATTAAATTAATTTTAAAGAATGCTGTTAATCAAAATATATAGCATGAAGTTACAAAAAGAAACAAAGGCCCTAACTGGTTTGGCTCAGTGGATAGAGCATCAGCCTGTGGACTGGAAGATCCCAGGTTCAATTCTGGTCAAGGGCATGTACCTTGGTTGCGGGCACATCCCCAATAGGAGGTGTGCAGGAGGCAACTGATCAATGTTTCTCTCCCATAGATGTTTCTGACTCTCTATTCCTCTCTGCAAAAAATCAATAAAATATATTTTTAAAAAATCTGACAAAGGAGGCAAGAGTATATTATGGAGTCAAGACAGTCTCTTCAATAAATGGTGTTGGGAATAATTGGACAGATACATGCAAAATCGAACCCGGGACCCTTCAGTCCGCAGGCCAACGCTCCATCCACTGAGCCAAACCGGTTTCGGCAATAAAATATATTTTTTAAAAAAAGAAACAAAGGATGAGAAATACAACACATATAACCAATAATTTATTAGTATCCAGAATATATATAAAACAAATCATTAAGAAAGAGACAATGAAATTTAGAAATTGGACAAAAATCATAATAATTTCACATAATAAGAAATAATTATGGCCAATAAACATATCAAAAAGTGCTTAATCTCATTATTGATTAGTAAAACGCAAACTCAGATTAGAGATATTTTATAATTTATATTGAAAACTAAAAAGTTTGGCCCTAGCCTGTTTGGCTCAGTGGATAGATCATGGGACTGTAGACCGAAGGGTCCCGGGTTCGATTCTGGTCAAGGACAGGTTATCTAGGTTGCAGGCTCCTCTTGGCCTGCACCCTGGTCGGGGCTCATGCAGGAGGCAACCAATCAATGTGTTTCTCTCACATCGATATTTCTTTCTGTCTTCCCTCTCTCTTCTACTCTCCCAAAAATCAATGGAAAAATATCCTTGGGTGAGGATTAAAAAAAAGAAAAAAGAATGTGTATTGCGATGAAATATATACATTTGCTGTAACTTGCCTATCCATCAATACACTAAACATTGTAGAGCCATACAAAAAATTCTACTAGACCATTAAAAAAATAGAATTTTATGTGCTGTCATCAAAGAAATGTTGCTGTATACTATATAATCACGCTACAAGCATTGTGTGGGATGACCCAATTTATGTATATACTTATAATTCCATATATATTTAATGTGCAAAACAATATCAAAGATTATAATTATCACATTTGAGAGACTGTGAATGAGTGGGGCTGGAAAAACATATTTGAAGAAAGTATTTTTGTTTGTGCCAAAGGTCCATATGCTATTTCTATGACTTACTTTAGCTTTTTTGCTCTTGAGACCTTTAGGTACTAAATAATATGGGAGGTGGGAACAGAAGAGGCGAGGGGATGGTCTGTTGCGAAAGTCTGTTTTGCGTAAATTGTATTCAAAGAAGGGGATTCTATCAAGTGTTGACAAGTCTTCAGTTCTGTTACGATGTCCCTCAAAATAAATCAAGCTTAGTATCTGCTGAGTCCAGATGGTACCTGTAAAAAGAAATAATTTCATTTCCAACCCTGAATTAATGTTTTATTAACAATGTCAATAATTATGCCATCTATCTCAAAACTATTTGGAACTTTTTCTTCCT